CCAGTCACACACCCCTCCTCGATGCTAGAAGCAATGAGGTGTTGTCATGTGCAGAGGAAGGACAGGGACAGTCCGCACCTGCATGTCCACTTGTTTCTGGATACAGCCTATGAGGGGCAGAGAGCAAGTGGTGCCTGCCCCTAAGGTGACCCCACCAGGCTAACGCAGGACACGGTTCAGAAAGGAGCTGCTCAGGTGACATCATGTTTTGTTTGATGGAACTAACGTTGGTGTCCCCTGAAATTCATATGTTGAAGCCCTAATTCCCAGTGTGGCTGTATTTGGAGATGGGGCCTCTAAGGAAGTAGCTGAGGCTAAGTAAGGCCACGAGAGTGGGGCCCTGATCCAATGAGATTAGGGTCCTTGTAAGAGCTGACAGCAGAGACTGAGCTCACCCACTCTGAGCCAGTCGGGTGACACTGCCACAGACATTCAGTTGAGCACATCGTGTCCCTGGCCTTCCCCAAATGCACATCCTTCTTGCATGGCAAACACACTCATCCCATCACAACCGACCCAGAAGTCTTACTCCAGCATCAGCGCTGAGGTGTGAAGTCCTGAGTCTCAACGAAACATCACCTGAATCAGGAGTGGGTGGGACTCGGGGTGCCACTCGCCCATGCTGAAGCTGAGCTCCCCTCCAGCCGTGAACCACGGAACCCAAACAAGTTCCGTGTTCCCAAAATACAGCAGTGAGCCAGGCATGGAGCCAGATGCTCCGTTTCCAAGAGAGAGAAGAGGCAATAGGGAGAGGGTGGTGGGGCCTAAGCAAATCCAAAGCCCTGAGGAAGCAATTAAGGCAAAATGAGGTCATGGAGTTGAGGCAGCCAAGCCAGTGGATTAGTGTCCTTATTAAAGATGACCCCACAGGCCAGGCACAGTGGCTCACACCTGTAATCCAGCACTTTGGGGGGCCGAGGCAGGATTGCTTGAGCCCAGGAGTTTGAGACCAGCCTGAGCAACATAGTGAGGCCCTGTCTCTACAAAATATTTGAAAATTAGCCAAATGTGATGCTCTGTTCCTGTGGTCCCAGCTGCTTGGGAGGCTGAGCTAAGAGGATTACTGGGCCCAGGAAACAGCCTGCAGTGAGCTGTGAGCGCTCTAGCCTAAGGGACAGAGTGAGACCGTGTCTTAAAAAAAAAAAAAAAATGATCCCATGGAGCCTGGTCTTGCTCTCTCTCCATCGCACACAAAGGAGAGGTTACGGAGCACACACGATGGCGGCACCACGTACCAGGAGAAAAGGCCTCAGAAGGGAACACACCTGGCTGACACCCTGATCTTGGATTCCAGCTTTCAGAGCTCTAAGAAAATTAATTTCTATGGCTTAAACTGCCTAGTCTATGGTATTCATTTATGGCAGCCCAAGCAGATGAAGACAGTGTGATAAGGTGGGAAAAAAATCCTGAGAATAACTGGTGGGAAAAATCATAACCAACTTTTCTCTGAAATTTTTACTTTTTAGACAATTCGTCCCTAAGAGTTTCCACTTATCCTCAACTTATCCACACACACAGTCATTCATTCGAGAGGTACACCACTGTTGATGACGCTGTGATCACACACAGTGCTACGGCAGGACCATGATCATCCAAAACACATCCAGCCGTGCTCCCAGCCACAGGCAGCATTGCGTTGGAGTCACATCGTAACACATGAACTATGAGGTGATTGTGCAGGAAAAACACGAATCAGCCCTACATGAACGTTGCTGGAGTTCTAAAGGCAGTGGATTCCAGGTGAGGGCAAGGACCTCCAAACAGGTAGAACAGGAAACTTTTCTGGCCTACGAAGGAGTTTTGGAGACTGAGTCAGGGCAGGACATAATGGATTGAGAAACAGGCTCTGCCATTAGGAAGAAGAATGAAATCATGTTCTTTGTAGCTACATGAATGTAGCTAGAGGCCGTCGTCCTAAAGGAATGAACAGAAACAGAAACCCATGTTCTCACTTAGGAGTGGGAGCTAAACACGGGGTACTCACAGACGTGAGGACTGGAGCAGACGCTGGGGGACACTGGCGGGGAGGGAGGGAGACTGGGGAACACTGGCGGGCGGAGGTGGAGGGAGGGGCTGAGAAACTAACCACTGGGTACTGTGCTCAGTACCTGGGTCACTCGTGCACCAGGCCTCAGCATCACTCAAACCTGCACTTGTACCCACTGAATCCAAAACATAAGTTTTTTTGAAAAAAAAAAAAAAAGAACCCAGAAAAAAAGCGCTGGGTGCAGTGGCTCACGCCTGTAATATCAGCACTTTTGGGAGGCCAAGGCTGGCAGATCCCCTGAGGTCAGGAGTTCTAGACCAACCTGCCCGGCATGGCAAACGCCATCTCTACTAAAAACTACAGAAAAAAGATTAGCCGAGTGCAGTGGTGTGCACCTGTAGTCCCAGCTACTCGGGAGGCTGAGGCACTGGAACTACTTGAACCTGGAAGGTGGAGGTTGCAGTGAGCCGAGATTGTGCCACTGCGCTCCAGCCTGGGTGACAGAACTAGACTGTGTCTCAAAAAAAAAAAAAAAGAAAGAAAGAAACCGGCTGTGGAGCCAGGAAAGTGTGGATCTGGGGAGAGGAAGTGCCCTCCCTTGAGGGCGCTGTGGCCACTGCCTGGAGCCGCCCTGCGGGACCGAACATGCGCACGTGGGTGCCGTGGCCTCCTGGCTGGCAGCCGTGGCCTCCGCCTCCTCCAGCTGGGGTGGGCGGAACCTCCCAGCCAGCAGTGTCTCCACTCTGCCCTGTCTGGTCAGGGCCCTTGTCACTCTGGGAGAAGACTGAGCATCATTGTCCACCTGGCATCTGCTGGCCATGCAAACCCTGCCTGGAGAGTCAAAGAGGCCTTCATCTGTGGAAATGTGATTCTGTCCAAACGTGATTCATTCCACCTCAGCTGCTCCTCAAACGACCCCACGAGGGAGCAGCCAGGGCTCAGGCCGCTCCGTTCATAGTGGAAGCCAAGGGTGGGGGTCCAGGCCTGCAGGGTGTGGACAGCAGGCAGTCAGGCTCCACCACGGGCCCCTCTCTAGGGCCGCTGCCCTCTCAGGGTGCCGGCCGCCTTCACTCGCGTTCTGCCCCAGCTGCAGCTGCTCCAGCCTGCACCCACAGGATGCAAGGGCTGCGGGCATCCTTGAGTTCAGATCCTGCTTTTCCTCGGAGCGATCTGGTCACCCGTTCAGTGCAAGGGTCAGGGTCAAGACGGCTGAGCTACGTCCTGTCTCTGCTGCCCCCTGCCATGTGTGACTTTGTTACATTCCTTCCATAGCTAAAAAAGAAAACATTGTCACCTTCCTGGGCCGGCAGGGGAGATGGTGCCGGGCCTGTACTTCCACCGTTACTGCAGAGGAATTAGGAGGCAGAGGTGCCAGCTTGTTTTCAGCAGGTTTTTCATTTCTGGCAGGCAGGGCTGTTTTCACACAAACATGTTTTATTGCCTACAAGTGGGATTTTTGAAGACTGCCTTTCTTATCTTTATTAATCGGAGAACTGTGCTTAGCAGCAGCAAGGCCTGGACAGCATCAGCGTCCACACACTGGAAACGTGGAAGCCCGGCCCAGTGCCTGCACAGCGTTAGCACACGCCTGGTGGAAACGTGGAAACCCCAGCGCCTGCACAGCGTTAGCACACGCCTGGTGGAAAC